CACAGTGGATTATGTTTGTTTTTGAAGGGAATGCGCCCCCGATCTACATAAATGCGTCTATGTTCGCGCAAATCATACATGATCCAGCTTCACAGAAGAACCGAGTGTAAGGTTTTTTAACAAATCTTTGCAAATCGCCTTTCCTAATAATGTGCTAATTAATTAGCAAGTTTCACGATGAACAAGCAGCTCGGAAGAGAGGGGTGGGGTCAGCAGAGCTCATTAACATTTAAAGGAAAATGCTACAAATCTGCATGGTCTGAAAAGAACTGTTTTTGACAGGGTAAAAAAGGTGTTTTTTACACTACCATTGAGAAATTTTAACCAAACTATGTTACAGACTTTTCATTAAGACCCTAAAGAATCATATCAACTGCTGGAAAATGGGCATCCTATGACCCCTTTAACGAAGACGCGGCATAAATTTCGTCATAGTTTTTATCATCAGATATTAGTTTTAGTCACAGAAAAAATGTTCGTTAATGAATATTTTTCGTCGTCTTCGTTGACGAAATTAACACTGCATTATAATCAATAAAGCGCTGCACTACACAATGAATATCTTATTTACACTTAATGTTACACTTTGTTTGTTATAATGAGAGACTCCCGAGTGTGCAGCTCTGAACAAAACTGTGGCTTGGATTCTAACTTAAAACACTTGGCCATTGCATTCAGGAAATCAACAAAAAAATGTTGGTGAATGGCTACATTGATCAGTGCTACAAAAACCCGGTGAAAATAGAAACCTTTGAAGCTCTCCAGAGTTCAAACACAAATACACACAGGAGCGTTTGGTTTCGCCAGTAGGCTATCCTATTAGCCTACAGCTTCAACTGATGTTCTCTTGCTTTTGTTTTGTTCCCTCTAGCACTCCCGTAGAACCGGCCCTGGATACAGTTAATTGCAAAGAAATATGTAATGAGTATTTTATACATGTTTTTAGGCGTGAAAAATGATCAAGATCATAAAAATATTGAAGCCAAAGTTTTTCATGAAGCAATAGGTTACTGGTAGCCACGTCAGTAGCGTGAGAGGTGCGAAATCTAGCATTTACATTTAAAAAAAAAACTTTATTGTATTTATTTACTGTAATACTGTGCTACTCAGATACTGTGATTTCCTTCTCACGTCACTGATTTCACCATTAACTATTCACCTGAACAGTTTATGTTGTTGCATGTGGTATCATTGTAATCCTTAACCATCAAAATATATGGGTAGACATCACCTTTTCTGTGTTATCATGTTTGATACAGAAGATATGACACAAAATATATAATTTGGTAATGGCGGAAAGTAAAATGACTGCCATGGCAACCACGAGGTGTTTTTGTGATGGCTCCATTTCTGAAAATGTTCAGGGCCCCAAACTGTAGGCTACATGTACCAAAAACAAGCGAACATATCACCTTAAAATTTGCACATATCTCCTGGATTATATATAATTTTATGATTTTTAATGAAATACGAATTTTGAATAATGAAAATTAGTTTGTGTCTGCTTATTCTATTCATTTTTTTTCTATTTATGCATTTCTGGGTTAAAAAAAAGAAAAATTAATTGACGCAAAAGTACACGGACCATACAGCTAGTAGTGACATTTACATTTAGGTTATGCATTTAGTAAATGCTTAAAAGCATAATTTATTAATCTCATATGGGTCTTATATTAAAATAATAACGTTTTTCTAGGTTACTTCAGAAGAGGACAACCCTGGAAGACCCCACTGAAGATTAAAAGCCATATTCTCTGTGGCATCACGGTTTCCTTCATCATGTCAGAGACTCGACTAACGCCTGCACAAACTGAGGTGCCACCAGAGTCTCCAGAGGTGGAGTGTCCAGTTTGCTATCAGGAGTACGACCAGGACTCCAAACTCCCGCGCATGCTGGAATGCCTTCACGTCTTCTGTACAGAATGTCTCCGCAAAATCCAGCTCACTCCTTTGCACCCGCCAGACCCCAACAGTGCCCCCTCAATCTCCTGCCCGCTGTGCCGCCACTCCACCCCGCTACAGGGTGGCGACGCATACTCTCTCCCCTGCAACTCACGGATTCTCGCCCAGCTGCCTCCCGTAGCCTTCCGTTTGCCTGCGTTGGTGACTGCCCGGCTGGCCACGGTGACTCAGCGGTTGGTGCTATCTCTGGGAGAAAGGGATACCCGATTCATAATCCTGCCCACTGTTAGTCTGAGGGTGGAGCAGATGGTAGAAGGCACAGAAATGGTAAACCCACCTAGGGTGCTGCATCGAGAGATTGAGGTTCTGAGGAGACACAAGAAGACCCTGACATGCGTTCAGGTTCTGGCTGTCATCTTCTGGATTATGTTTGTGCTGACTTGTGTGATTGGGGTTGTGTTTGGGCCAAGCCTCTTTCATAATTAAGAGATTAAGGACACGGATGTATCCTGTTACATTAAGATATTTATTCTGTCCCTGTATTTTTCAAATGACAATATATAGATCATTATAAACAAATCATTTTGATTCTACATGTAAAATCTACAGTTGCCCATCCCCCTCCCAACCCCCAAAATTTGCAAAACATTTTACAGCATACAAAGTTTAGGTTTATAAATTATGCAACAGATATATGCTCTAAAAAAAAACGCTGGATTAAAAACAACCCAGTTTGGGTTATTTTTAATTCAAGGCCTGGGTAAATAGGACAGAACCCATTTTGGGTTAACTTTATCCAGCAAATTGGGTTGTTTATTTAACCCAGCATAATGATTAATTTTTACTGTTAGATTATTTTTTTACTTCTTTCATTAATTAATGTTTACAGATTTACTTAAATCCTCTAAACTTGTGTAAAATACTCCACACAACCACTGGTTTGCATGATAACTTCATTTATTTTCCTTTATTTATATAATTTACAGCATTGTTTATATCGTTTTAATAGCCAAACGTAGGGCATACATATTGCCTATATTTAAACTCGTTGAACAAACATTAATTAGAAGTAAAAATTTAAACATTAAACAGAAGTAATTCACGTAAATAACAATTTTATAGATAAAATAAAATGTACACAAACCTGTATTTTACGATTTACCGAAGAAATGCATCAATTCGATGGCGCTTATAACTGCTTTCTTCTGAAGAGGACGCAAAATCCCTGCGATAAATAACTCAACATGGGTTACGTCTGACCCAGGATCTGAGTAACACAAAAACTACCCAAACACTGGGTTGTTACATTTGACCCAGGAGCTGGGTATATAACACAAAAAAACACCCAATCACTGAAACAATAACACCAAAAAATGACCCAAAAGGCTTACAATTTAGGTTGAAAAAATTACCCAGGATTTTTTAGAGCGTATGGTTCAAACTAAAGACAAAAAAAGTATTGTGGAGCCTGGCTGACAAATGTTAGAGGATCAAGTTCATAGTTAATGTGATGAACTTAATGACTTCATATTGTACATCCATTACAAATTAACCTTTTAGTTGATATTAGTTGTTTAAATCAAATTAAAAACATGGTGAGGTTATTCTGAAAATAGCTCCACTCTTGTGGCATGGTATTTGGTTTAATATTTGATTGAATTCAATCCATTTTGGGCCCATTTTTCTTGTTCATATTATAGTGTGTGTATAGTCCTACAATTAGTCCTGTCATTGTGTATGTGAATATTTCTTATCTATTTTGTAAATAAAGGACAACATTCTCTTTTCTCTAACTTTTTGTACAGTATGTTGTTTTGTATGTAAAAAAATCAAATATATGTAGGCCTGCAGCATTCTGTTTGTTAGAAAAAATGCATTGTTAAATTAGCCTACAAAAAAAAATAAAATATTCATGGAGATTGTCCAGCACAGGCTTTTTCATAAATGATAGCCTAATGAGTTCCTCTTGTGGATGATGCACATTAAAGGGGTCATATGATGCGATTTCAAGTTTTCCTGAATCTTGTCTAGGTAGATACAGCACCGCCGCCTTCAACCAGTGCTGTCCCGACCAGAAAAAATCCACTAGTCATTGTTGTATTTCTCACACTAAATCCTCAGGAGGCTCAAGTATTGTCATTCTGTGCCAAAGTGAAGAAGCAACCAAGTTGTTACATACCAGAACCCTCCCCCTATAGGACAACTGCGGTAGCGACCAATTCCAACGAGACAACCTTGCACACACTTTCTCCAAGAGGCCTTCCCAGTTTTTCTTTTTAAACTCTTCTGTCCCTAAAAACGCTCCTAAATACTTTAAACCTGCTCTTCCCCACTGCAGCCCACCAGGAAGCATTGGACCTTTAAGAACTCTGCCACACCATAAAGCATCACTTTTTCCCCAATTAACTACTGCTGATGAGGCTTTTCCATAAAACTCTAAAGCCTGTTTAAGCACCTGAATATCACTTTGGTCTCTGATTATAACTGTAATATCATCAGCATAGGCAGAGAGTTTATTAGAACAGTTTAGGGTGTTAATCTGTAGGCCCATTAACTGTCTTCTCAATTTACACAACAAAGGTTCAATTGCAATGCTGTACAGTTGACCTGAAAGTGGACAGCCTTGTCTGATTCCTCTTTTAACATTCACAGGGATACTTAACCCACCACCCATTTTGATCATACATGTTGCTTCAGCATATAAAAGTTTAATCCTTGAGATGAATTTTTCCCCAAAACCAAAAACATCAAGGGTATCAAACAAAAAACTATGATCAACCCTGTCGAAAGCCTTTTCTTGATCCAGGGGCACCAGGCCCATGTTGATATCCTCAGAATAAGCATAATCAAAAACATCCCTGATTAAGTGAATATTATCCATGATTGACCTATTTTTAACACAATAAGACTGATCTTAAACACGACTACCGACTACCGCTTTGTTCATCCGTGAAGCCGAGACGATGTTTTCAAAACCAAGTTTCTGACCAATAATCACGAGCAATTCCTCCACTGTCCCATACCGGCGACTACAAACCACGCACGCACACACACACACACACACGAAAAACT